GGGAACACCACAAGTGTGACTTTGTGCCATTTTGTACAAAATAAAAGCCTTTCAAAACAAACTCCCTGATTAAACATTAAAGTACACTAGTGTGATAAACAGTACACATTTTCTCCACATTTTATTTAATATTGTGACAATTATTCATAAATAATGCTTTTTTCACTCAAAAAATGAGGTGCCTACTCTCAGATAAATGAGGCCTACGATTAATCAGAAGCAAATATAAATACAAAACCAGTCCTAAATGAAAGAAAAGAAGTTGACAAATAGATTGAATCCAATATTTGGTGATAATATAGCATAATGAGTGATTTATAAGCAATTTTTTGAGGCCGGGTCCTTTTTGCTCTGTAACCTCGTAAGTGTGATAGGGTTCTGAACACAACACAAGGGTTAAACAAAGTTTTGGTTCTTGCGGATACTCTTCCGTCTCCACATGGTACCTTATCAGGATAGTTGAAGCCCGGCTTGCAGAATTGCTTGTAGTATTCCCAGTAGCTTTTATTGCGTCTGTAGTTGTATTGCATGTCGATGTAAGTGGCAAATCTGTCTGGGCACTTGGATACACACAGCTGGGGTAAACAAGAGAGAAAGAGAAGCATCAGTTACAAAACAAGCAAGCGCTAAATACAGAGCGATCCAGCTTAGACAAAATGACAGATGGTTTGCAAATAGTGTCTGTATTACCTGAGTTGTAGGGCACTGAAGGTTAATGAGGACTGTAGGATTGGCACATTGCAAAATATTGAAGTAAAATAATATGGCTTTATTTCTGTGGAGGAGAAAGAAGGTGTTTCAATCCATCTAATAAATAAATCTCATACCTAATATATTAAGTATGAGATTACTTTTAAACATTTTATACAATTATTTAAGTTTAACAGCATTAACACCTCAATTTCTCTCAAGCTAATACTCACGCATTAGGAGTACCCTGCTGTCCACAGAACTGCCCATAGCTATCTGTCGGGTAGACAACTTTCCGGGGATCCCCATGCATCCAAGCTTAAAAAACATAACACAAGCCATGTCATCTGAATCATGTTTCTCAAATAAGTTTACCACAGTTGCAATTCAATCGTCATGCATTTCAAATAACTGCTGGGAAAAAAAAAGAAAAAAAAAACTCCGTATTTATGGCAACACTGAAACTACACCCACTGTTCCTGCTGAGAAGGAACAGGCAGAAGCAAAGGGGACAAACACGAACAGATGCATGAAAAAACTAACTAAAAATAAAGTGAAACCTCTTCATTTAATTCTGAGCATAAGAGGCTCTTTATGTAATTGAATATGAGTGATTTGAGTCCACAGTGAATCGAACACACTACAGCTCTGTGGAGAAGGATTCTGCCTGGTGATTTAATTTTCTCCACTTAAGTCTGCATGGAAAAGTGAATTTGAGCTTCAGGGCTCACGGAATGTCACCTCAAGCCTAAACCGGTCACATGAGTTATCAGTGCACTTCAAAGAGCAAGAGAAAAGCCAGTCGTATTAATTTAGCCTAAAATATTAATTAATCAGGATTAAACCGATAAGAGCAGAGTAGAGTGAGATCAGCATGACAAAGAAAAAGCACTGTGGGAGAAACAGCGAGTCTTACACTTCACAGACCCAATATGTACAGTTTATATAATTACAATTTAATATAAATTAAAATGGAACATTTTAAACTATGTGATTTATTCCTGTGATGGCAAAGCTGAATTTTCAGCAGCCATTTCTCCAATCTTAGATGTCATATCATCTTCCAGAAATCATTCTGAAAAACTAAAAACATTTTTAAATTAGATTTTGCATCACAGAACTTTTGGGCGCCACTATATATATATATCAATCATAGCAGCACATTTCCAGCAAAGACAGATCCAACAGTTGGCAAGCTGTGAGTCTCCCAGAAACGGCACAAGAGAAAAGCCTGTGACAGTTTTAACCACAGACTCCACAAATGATGTAACCGATCAAATGTCAGCGAATGAACGGGTTCTTGCTTTTTTGAGAATGGACTAAATGACTGTCCTTATAAAAACAGCCACATACGGTGAGGGGAGTGTAACTGAACATAATGACACTGCATTAGGCTGCTGTTTACGACTGACGCTCCCCCGCCGCTTCTATTTGGCTGCTTAATAGCGCTGGATTCATGAGCCGCATTACACAACCCTCTCTGCTGAAGCATACGTTAATGAGTGTAACTCACCCACTGTTCCCAGAACGATGTAACCGAGGATGACGATCACAAAGATCACACAGCAAAGCACGTCTGTGCAGCCCCTGCAGTGGGAATGTGAGAAGAGAGAATGTAAGGGAGAGAATGTGAGCACTGAATGAATAAATTACACTATATTTACATTCATAACAGCATTTCAGTAAGTATATACGTAAACTAATTATATATTCTTAATCAAATGTTGTAAAATAAAACTTTTATAACCATCGTGAACTCTCAAACTATAAACAAAATAACATTCACTAACACAGTGTGTTAAAAAAACACATACATCTACACAGAGCACATATACTGTATTTGTGATTGTTTTTTCCCCTGCTGACTGTAACCCCATCAGAACAGACTTGTGACCCATTTTTGGGTGCCAACCTACTAGTTGAAAACAACTAAATTAAGTAGTGCACAGGGTGGTTATTGTTAACCAAATACTAAAACTATTAAAACCTGTATTACATGAATGAAAATGGGAAATGTTGCCTTGACAACTACCTGAAATAAAAGTTGAAGTACTAAAATTATTAAAACTGAAATAAAAAAATAACAAAACATAATAATAATAAAAAGACAAAAGAAACAAATTTATTAAAACTAGAAATAAATTTATAATGAAAACTGAAAATATAAAATATAAAAATAAAATCTAATTCAAAACATTAATAAATACTATAATAGTATATAAATAATACTAAAATGATACTGTAGTGCATCCTAAATTATAATACACTAAACATAATAAGCTAGAAATGTCAAGATAATACACTCCATTAAAAAGTACCTGAATGCAAGGACAAATATACGAAAGCAGTTTTTAAAAAGGACTCGAAAGTTAAGCAAGACTGAACTTTAAGCTAATGAGTTAGCTAGATGGTAACAAGATGCTGCAAGGAGGTCTGTAGCATACTTTACAATGTGGTAACGTGTCCTCATACTACACATTTAAAAGTATATATACATACCTATAGTGCAGAGTATATGCTAATTTGGACATAGCCATACAGTTCAGTAGGGCAGTAAACTTCAGTTTTGTGTAGTTCTGACTGGACTAAACCAAATTTGACAAACTCGCAGCATACAGCAGCTCTGAGTGGACAGCTAATGTGGATGACAGTAGAAATGAGTGACGTGTCTGATGTGTAAACTACAAACCCACAGTGTCATCTGTAACAGCGTTCCCTGAGCTATATTTAAATTCCACTCAACACAGATGGGGAGTGGGTGGTTGCGTCGGGCCACTTTCACACAAAGGTGCGGATTTGACGTGATACTGGGAGTCAGTGACATTTAATGCAATACAGCTTGGATGATATTTTTGGAGATATAGCGTTAATGGACTAGTGGAAAAGTGCCCAACTA